AGGAGCAGAAGACATCTCGGGAGAGGCTTCTGGAAAAGAATCCTCCCGGAAAAGAATCCTCCCTTATCCCTTGGATACTATGTATCCAGACAAGGTAGTCAACTCATCCCAGTAGCTAACCAGAGTAAAAAACAATCTTCCCTGCAGCTAACCAGAGAAAAAATAATCTTAGTCTGGGCCAGAGGGAATGGCCCCAGTCCAGAGTCAAGAATTTTCTATTACTCTCTGGTAGTGCATCTTAAATGATGTAAAGGCTCAAAACTTTACAAATTCACTTGCAGCAAACCTTAATGTCCACTTTTTACAAATTAAAGGAAACATTTAAGGTCCTGAAAGCCAGTAAGAATTAACTAAAGTTTAGAAAAACCTGTATATCAATTACTGATAGTGAGGTAACTTAACTTTATAAATTGTACTATCTTAGAGAAAAATAATAATGTAGTACTCCTTTCTTTGATACTGTATCTAAAAACATGTCCAATCCCCACCCAGCCAATGGGGATTGAATTCTATTAGGTACACTACCAGTGAACCACATCTGCATTATTTTGAGATGGCCTTGCAATCCCCTGCCTCATCCCGGGGCAGCTAGGATAGAAATTTGTACCACGAGGCCCAGTTTAAAACATTCTTTCAATATAGTAGAGCTTTTTGTTCTTGTTTTTCTTTTAAGTTAGAGGTGAGGAAATTTTCCCTGCAAAAAGGCAAAGAGTAACTATTTTAGGTTTTGTTAGCCATATGGTTTGCCATCATGGTTCAAAAGTAGCCACAGACAATATATACATATAAGTTCCAATAAAACTTTATTTACAAAAAACATGAGCAGGCTGGACTTGGCCTATAGATTTTAACCAGCAGACTAATACACAAAAGTTACTAAACAATCTTTCCAAATAAATTAACTTTACTACTTTATTATTCCCAATGTATATGAAGCATAAAGAAATGTAATTAGCATTTTTTGGTCATCACATTGCTAGATGTATAAAGTTTAGTGACCCTCATAAAACATAATACATGTAATCTGGAATTATACTTAAAGGGCCACTATAAAGAAAAGACAAAGTTTACTCATACCCCAATTTATTGCAAGTACCTGTTCAACAAAACTAGGTTATTATCAAGGCATGGTGGCATATATCTCTAATCTTAACATTCTGGAGGCAGGGGCAGATCTCTGTGAGTTGCAGGCCAGCAGTAACTTCTACATAAGAAGTTACAGGACAGCCAGGCTAGAGAGACCTTGTCTCAATACAAACAAAACAAGAAACAAAAATTCTCATTATTGTGGCAGGGGAGATGGCTCAGTGGTTGAGAGCACTGGCTACTCTTCCAGAGGACCTGGTGCCCTAGTTTGATTCCTGGAGCCCACATGGCAGCTTATGGCTGTCTATAGCTCCAGTTACAGGGTATCTAGTACCCTCATGTGGATATGCATGCAGGCAAGGATGCCAATACATATGAAATAAAAATAAATCATTTAAAATTCTAGTTATTTTAAATTGATGAATATATAAGAACTGCAAAACATAATTGTTATTTGGTGTGGAGGAAGCCCTACATAACCTCCACCTTTCCTGAGAAGCTGGTACTAGGGTCCACTATTAAGGACAGAGAAGAATTAATCATATAGACAACTAACTATTCCTCCCTAATCCGTTTCCAGGAAAAGATACATAATACATAGGTATGGTGCTATTCCAAATCATATAACTGTTTCAAAAGACAACACTTTTGTGCGTGTCTGTGCATGTGTGTGTGTAGTGTACATGCTTTTGAGTGTGCACCAACTTTTACTGTAAATTTATGCTATACTTTAGGAAGAAAAAAAGGTAAACCTCACCAATAATCATTAACCAAGAAAATTAGCACATGTGCTTATACAAACACTTCTGAGAATTGGTACAGCAAATTCTACTAATTTCATTCAAATGATGAAAATTTGAAAAATACAAATGCTTGATGTTTAATATAAGTAATAAACACCATGTCAGGGTTTGTTACAGCACCTTATTCTAACAGACTTGAGACCCACAGATAAGGAGCAAGGCATGCAAGCTCATCCTTGCAGAAGTGCTACCACTTTCTATATGCAAGACAATTACCTATGTAATATGAAAAATGGGGCCGGGGAAAGAACTGCTGAGTTCTGGGGCGAGAAGACAAGATTTTTACTGTGGCTTAACATCCTTCTAGGTATTATAACTTTACCATATAATGTATTACCTTTATAGTTTTTTAATGGTTTAAGATACACATCCAATATAAATACTAAGAAGCTGAATAAAGAAATTTAATAAATGAACCAGATGGAACAGCCTTAACACACTCGAGCTAGATAACTCTGAGGTCAGACTGGATACCTCTATCTCCAATGCCATGAGCTACTGAAGTCAAGGCTTTCCCGGAACTCCCTCTAGTGACACCTATGGTCAAGAAACTTCAAATAGCCTTGTAGAGTAGCAACTTAATCCAGCTCCATATCCAGGATGTCAACAGGGTAAATTAGTGCCCAACAGCTCTTGATAAGCAGGAGGCCCAAGTCATCCAAGAGTGACTTCCTTTCTTCCCAGATTGCAACAGTAAGAGGCACAAGCCATCCAACAAAGAGTGACTTTTCATCTCCCAGACTGCACCAGTAACAGGAAGCTATTACCTATGCCCTACAGATATGTTCCATCTGCACCGCTCAGTCTTTACTATCTCAATGGGACAATATCTCAAGCCTTTGGTCTTTGGGGAAAAAAGTTAAAGATTTGCCACCCCATTTGGAAATGGCTCGTTAAAATGCACTAAATTTAAAATAAATGAAAATCCAGGACTCTCATCATCACTCAACATTTCAGAATTATTATATTAGATTGTACTTAATTTTTATACTAAAAGATTGAGAAGCTGGGTGGTGGTGGCGCATGCCTCCAGGACTTGGGAGGCAGAGCCAGGCGGATCTCTGTGAGTTCGAGGCCAGCCTGGTCTACAGAGCAAGATCCAGGAAGGACAGGCACCAAAACTACACAGAGAAACCCTGTCTCGAAAAAACAAACAACAACAAAAAAGATTTGAGAAATTAAAATATAATAAAATCTGTACGTCTTCCAATCACTCGCCAGAGCTTAAAAACTGGTTAATAAAAAAAATCAATTCTGTTCTTGGGAATGGTAAAGCAATAAACAAAAAACCAGCTCTTGCCCTTATCTCCCACCCCGTGACTACTGACAGCTTGGAGAGGAAGAACAAGGCCTGCTGTTTAACCATCACACATAAAAGCAGCAACGTGATTTCCACCTGAGTAACCAGTTTCCACAAAATTAAGATTCCAAGTGTTTTTCCCACAGCAAAATCTATGCAATCAATTCCACAAACATCTCCCAGGTCCTCCTACATTCTCTCCCGTGTTAAGCTCCAGGAATGAACAAAAAACAGTATGTGTGACCCACAGGGACAAGGGCTTAACATTTCTTAAGTGTCACAATCAAACTCCTCCTCATGTAAACAAAGCTAAAGACTCCTATGACTATTCGTTCCAAATATTAACTGCTTATTAAATTCCAAAATACAGTTTCCAAAGGGGTCTAAGCAAAGAAAAGCCAGTGTAATTCTTTTCACAGCATACTGACAATTTGAAAAGGAGTCTTCAATTTGTCACATTCGAAAAAAATTATTATGATGAAAGATAAACTGCACACTGGTGCAAGCAGCGAAATTCTAAAGATTGAAAAAAAAAATGCAATCCTAAACATTAGCCTCTCTTCCAGATCTAGTGATGCTGTTTTGGCAAGCGGATTAAGCCATTATTTATGCAGCAAAATGAACAGGGCAATTGTTTATTCTGTGCTCCGTCATAGTCTTATAAGTATTCTACGGGGGGGGGGGGGGGAGAGATGCTCGGTCAACAATAGATTGCAGTGTCCAAGTACTCTTTAATCACATAAACCCTTATTATCCTGGGCTTTTACATTTACATCATGCAAATCTTGGTGCCTCCACACAGCCGACGGGGCATCGTGCTCGCACCTCTTCTGCAAAATCTCAACTGTATTTGCATACATTTTTTATGAAGTTGACCTCTTAAAACACAATTCCAACGAATAACCACTCTTTTAGGGTAAGGGTGGAAAAAAAAAAACCCACCCAGAATCCTGGCAACGTTTAGAGAAACATCTGTGTGGGAACAGACGTGCTTTTTCAACTGAAATAACGCACTTAACCCCTTTTCAAACTTAGCTCCGAGACGGAGTTTGGGAGCCCGGGCAAGGTGGGGATGCGAACTTTCCTGGTGGGGTCTGCTGGCACTCCACCAGGCGACTCCGCGACCCGGGCCAAGTCCGGGGGCCCGGAGGGCTGCAGCAGCAGCAGCAGCAGCAGCAGCAGCAGCAGCAGGTAAGGGCGGCCGGGAGTCCGGGCCTGGCCTCGCGGGCTCGAGCGGCAGGAGCGGCCGGCGCCCCCAGCCCGGCAACGCGGACAGCCCTTTCCGCTGCTCAGGCGTCCACACGCTCTCTAGTAATCCAACACCCCGACTTTCCCACAGGAGGCCGGGGACAAGTTCTAACCGTGCCGCCCCTCTCGGGGTGGCGGGCGAGCCTCCGACCCACGCTCCCTACGGCCCTCGGGGGCGCGCCGGGCCGAGCCTGGGGCCCAGTCCGCGGCGGCGGCGGCGGCGGCGGCGGCGGCGGCGGCGGCGGCGGCGGCGGCGGGAACCCGCACCCGCCCGACGCACGGGGCGGTCAGGCCGACGGCGGACGGCACGGGGGCTGCAAGGAGGCTCCGGGTAAGCGGCCTGGCTCAGCCGTTAACGACCGCGGCGCCTCTCGGGCGGCCGGGCGCGAGCCCGTCTCGGAGGCGCGCCAGGCCCCGGGCCCGCGGCGCCACAGCCCGGCAACTTCTGGCCGCCACCTCAGCGCCACGGCGGGGGAGAGCGAGCGGGCAAGCGGGCAAGCGGGCCGGGAGGGAGGGTGGGGAGTGGGGGGGGGGGTGCAGGGAGCGCGCCGAGCAGGGCTTACCCCGAAAATGAGCGGCTCCTTCCCTGCCCGCCGTCGGCTGGCTGAGGCGCGGCTCGGCGGGGGCGTCGCGGCTGGCAGCGAGCGAACGGAGAGGCGGCGGTGCGAGCCCTGAGCCGCCGGAGAAGAGACGCGCCGCCGCCGCCGCCGCAGACAGCTCGGCAATATGGCCGCCCGGCGCCTCCTCGGGGGGGAAGGCGGGGCCGCCCCGCGCCCCCTCCTCCCGCGGCCCGCCAGTGGCGGGCGAGGCCGGGGCCTGAGCGCCAACCCCCGCGGCCGCAGCGAGGGCGTCTCTCCCGGCTCCCCACCCAGTGGGGGGCTCGGCGCCACGGGCGGAGACGGACGGGTCTCAGCCGGCTCGGGGGGGTGGGGGGGGTGGACGACGCGCTGCGGGGCCTTCGCGAAGGCTTCCCCAGGGACGAGGACGGACGCCACGGGCCCGCCGGGAGCCCGAGTCCGAAGCCCGCAGTGAACGAAGCGGAGCCGCGCGGCCCGAGCGCGCCCGCCGCCTGCCCCCGCCCCGCCCGTGGAAACTTGAAACTCCCGCTGGTGCCAGGGAACTCACGGAGGGCGTTTCCAGCGGCCCCCCGAGGTGGAGCTGTTCCCGGGACGGGGGCGGGAGGAGGGAGACCCGGGGAGCCGCTCCGGGGGTGTCGTTGGGTGCTAGGCATCCAGCAGCCCCGGCTTGGAGAGGGAAATAGGCCCAGAATTTGCAGCAAAAGAACGTTTATTTTGTGCAGATTTTAACCAAATAGAAAGGCTGGCTGCTTTTCAATTTTGCAGTGTTTCAAGTTCCCTCAAAAAGCCTATAACGTGATCTGAGGGGTTTTGTTTTTAGCAAGGATACAGTTAGAAAGAATAGGTTAAGAAAAACTTGGAAGAAGGACCCAAAGAGCAGCCAAACCTAAATTATTCTAGACTTGGAAAAAGTTAGCCATCTGACCCATAGTCTCATTGTCGTCCACTCACTAGACTAGAGAAAGTGGCTGGCTTCTTCTGGTGGGGTTATCTCCGTGCTACCCCCTGGGTATTTTCTGCTGTGATTTAGAGTCACACTTGGTGTGACTGTACAAACAGCAACGATACAAACCTTACCCGTCTGCCGCATTCCGTCTAAGATGCTTTCTTTCGTAAATGAACTTTCAATACAAATAAAACTCTAGTGTACTTAACTTTTACAGAACAAATAATTCATCTTCCCGGCCTTAGGCTTCCCTTTGCTGGTACAGTAGCTTTTCCAGGAACTCTGCATGCATATCCCTTTCACCAAGCCTCAGCTTCCATCTTCAGTGAGTTACCACCATCGCCATTAGAGACCTCACTAAACAATTAAAAAGCCCCCAGAGATCCCAGGTTAATCTCAGAAGCCTTTAGATCTCAAATTCCTCAAGGATGGGAAGCAGGTGCGTGCTCTGTAACCAAACAGGTTTATGTGGTTCTTGGAGACCACCAAAGGAACACTTGCTGACCCTGTTTCCACAGTAAAAATGTTATGCAAATCCCTAAATAGTACACAGATCAAACTGAAGTCTCTGGTACACTTTGCAACTGAAAATGGAGCATTCAGTCGTGGTCATGTGTTCAGAACAGTGTGAAGTGCTTTCACATGACTACCTTGTTTAATGATTACAACCAGCCCGGGCTCAAGGTGAAAGCTCTTACTGGCATTAAAATAACTAGTGAATAAAGGGGAGCCTCCAAAGAGTTATTTGTCACTGCAGCCTTGCTGGGAAATGGCAGAGCACGATGACTTAAACCTAAATGTAATGCATGCTTGACTGGAAAGCCTTGCTCTTATTCTATGCTCAGGGCAATCGCAAATCCATGCCGAGTTGTCACATTTCAATTGGCTATCATATTAGTAGAGATTTACATAAAAGATAGTATTCAAGCTGGTAAGATAAAAAGGATACTCTCATATGTGAGTTGGGATGTAAAGTGAAACTCCAGCAAACAGTTTGATGGGGTGACTCAATCTTTAAGAGGGTCCATAACTCTTAGAACTCATAATCCCATACATGAGGATTTCATCTGAAATAGAGCAAAACCACCATCACGGTATTAAATATTAACACGGTTGCAAATATTAACAGAGAAACACACCATTGTTTTAGTTTGCTCTTCATATCAAATATTAGCACTTTGAAATATTGAGTATTCAATCTAAATACCCCAAAACTTCAATTTGGGGATGTTGGTATGTGTGTTCACCTGGTGCTGAGAACTGAACCCAGGCCTTGACGCTTACTGAGCAAGTGCTCTCCCGCTGAGCCAGATCCCAGCCCCTGACAGTTCAGGGTCAGAGTGGAAAACATCCACACATATTTCCTAGAACACTCTTGTTCTGGAAATATACCTGATATTAATTAATAGTTACCAAGATATATTTCTAAAATAGCATATAAGATGTTTTAAAACCATAGCTGGGTATAGTGACTAACACCTTTAATCCTAGCACTTGGGAGACATCTGTGAATTCAAGGCCAGCCTGGTCTATAGAGTGAGTTCCAGGACAGCCAGAGCTGAATAGTGATACCTTGTCTCAAAAAAATAAAACAGTGAGTTCGAGGCCAGCCTGGGCTACCAAGTGAGTTCCAGGAAAGGCGCAAAGCTACACAGAGAAACCCTGTCTCAAAAAAAAAAAAAAAAAAAACCAAAACAAAAAAAACCTAAATTTATTACTAAAATCTCTACACTGCACTCTTATTGGTCTTTACCACATTATGTTGACTTACTCTAATTTCTGGAATTCCAATGCTAGTTTTAAAGCATTGGTTTCACTAGCACACATAAAAGGTACTTCCTGAAGCTGGGCGGTGGTGGCACAAGCCTTTAATCCCAGCACTTGGGAGGCAGAGCCAGGTGAATCTCTGTGAGTTTGAGGCCAGCCTGGGCTACAGAGTGAGTTCCAGGACAGCCAGAGCTACACAGACAAATCCTGTCTCGAAACACCAAAAAAAAAAAAAAGTACTTCCTGAAATGAAGAAAATTAATTTTTACAAAAATAATTTATAGATGAAGTGTTTTTGTTTGTTTGTTTTGATTTTGGGGGGGGTGTTTTTTGGTTTGTTTTTGAGAAACTAAACTACAGGCAGGCCCCTTGCTGGTTTATAAGGCTGGCCCTCTGTCTAGGTAATGAAAGCCAACAGTGCTGTGTGAAATGACTGTAATAAAGGTTCATACACAGTGGCCAGGGAGACACAGAAGAGAGTGATTAACTCTACCCAGATATGAGAACGCTACAGGAGGAGGTGAGAGGAAAGTGGTGTGTAGACGTTTCCTCAGAGAAGAAGTCAGGAAAGGCAGCTCTGGGTGCTGAGTAGCATGTGTGAGCAATGTGTGATCAATACCCAGAGGTTCAGAAAGGTAAGTTGGGCAGTGCACAGTTTTTCCCTCATAAGACTTAGGCATTAAAGAATGTCAGGTAGAAGTAACCAACCAGTATCTGATTGGATTTAAGGCCCATGCCATGAGTTGGAACCCATCCCCAACTCTGCTTGGGTGGCCAGGAACCTGACACCAGGAAAGCTAGGGCCATCCTTCAGTACTCATAGACCACTGCCTTGCTCAGCCATTATCAGGGAGGTTTCCTCCTGCAGCATACGGGAACAAATGCAGAGACCCACAGCTGGACAGTGTGCAGAGCGTGAGACCTTGGAACACTCAGTCCTAAATGGGCTGTCTCCATCAAATCCCTCCTCTCAGGACTCAGGGAGCCCTGTGGAAGAGAAGATTGTAAGAGCCAGAGAGGATGGAGAACACCAAGGAAACAAGGCCTTCTAGACGTAGCAGGATGGACACACAGACTGTGGCAGCGTGCACAGGGTCTGGACAGGTGTGCACCAGATGGGGTCCAGCACTGAGAGGAGAAGTGGACACAAACCCCCATCCTTAACTCAGAAGCCGTCTCCAGTTGATAACCACTCACAAATGAAAAATGAGTTCTCCCCAATGGCTCTCACTGAGAATACACACCACTCTTTAGGGCAGGCCCCAGGCCCAGTAGTCGAAGGCCACACAAACAAGCTCAGCAGTGCCTTGTTCTCTGTCTCATGCTTTTTTTTTTTTTTTTTTAAACATTACGGATCCTTTCTGAATATATCAAGGTTTTCAGTTTTGTGTTTTTAATGGACTTTCTGTGTGTAAGAACGTGTGTGTGTTTCTGTGACTATGTGGTGTTTTCCCCATGACTCTTCTGTTTGTCCTGTGCCAGGTTGTTTTGTTTTATTTTATTTTAATATTATTCTCTAGATGCCTGTTTGATTGTGAGAGACAAAGGGTGTGGATTCGTATGGGAGGGGATTTGGAGAAGAACTCAGAGGAGTTGGGGAGGGGAAACTAATCAGGATATATTGTATTAAAAAATCTATTTTCAATAAAATTAAAGTTGAGGGGAAAAGAGGAATTAATGTGATCCACTTCATATTTTAGTAAGACATCTGGCAACAATGTAGATTGCATGGTTCTGTCACAGTGGACAGTGAATTTACAAGGGACGCCTTAGACAGGTTGGCTACAGAGGCCCACGTGGGAGGGCAAGGAGCACCTCTGAGTTTGGGAGGTGGTGGGGATGCAGAAGGGAGTTAGAATTTCTTAGCAGAGTTGGGGACAGACTGAAGAGAAAGACTCGAGATCAGTAGTGCTTTCAGGATCTCTGGTGTGTTTTCAGAGGGCAAATAGGAACATGAAAGAAATGCTTTTACCACTCCTTGGGGTAGTCTCTGTCAGCGTGACACAAACTGGGAAGAGGTAGCCTCAGCTGAGAAAATACCTCTGTCATTTTGTCCTGTGGGCAGGTTTTTGGGACATTTTCTTGACTACTGATGGATTGACATGGAAGGCCCAGCCCACTGTATATGGTGCCACCCTGGTCCTGGGTAGATGGAACAGGGCCCATAGGGCATTGGTCTTTATTTCTGTCATAAGCTAAAGGAAAACACGCCTGGTATCCAGGGCCCTTGGTGTCTTGTCAGCAGTACAGAAGGATGTCTTCAAATTCCTTGCAAATGGGACCCACTAAAATGCTGTTTTACTTAATACCCATTGTCAAGTTGTTGTATTAAACACACAGGACATCAGCGAGGTATACCTTTGACTATATCACAAGGGCCTTTCCAGAAAGGATTAACCAAGAGGATAAGACCTTTCCTGAATGTGGGTGCTAGAGTCCTGAACTGAGTAAAAAGAAAGGGAGACAGCCGGGCAGTGGTGGTGCACGC